CTCTGTCTGTTTACTAACTGTTCAATCTTATTAACAGGAGTTTGTTCGCATGATTGGTCTTTGAACAACTTACTACTACATTGGTATTGGTGAATCTACGCGGACAGAAGCTAAGTGACAGATGAAAAATCGCCTTTTCACAATGATCTAATTGTTGGCACTCGCTGTGACGGTACAAGGTTAGCCTAACGGTTTTTCATTTCTCTTCTGGCATGTTTTTCTGAGGGAAAGTAATGCATCAATACCTCTGACAGCTACTACAAATTACCTCTGTTGTGGTCATATTGACTTTGCCCAGTAGCCGTGATCGATTTATCAAAAAAAATGGACAACGTCAAATAACAAAAAAAAAAAAAAATATTATCATTATGGCGTTTATAAAGATATACATATACCTATAGCAGGCACCTGCTATTCATGGAGACATTTATGTCTGTAAATATTTATTTATTCTCAAGGATGGTCCGAGTATATCTGTTGCTAGTTTTGTCTGGGTGGTCTTGTTAAATCTAATCCACGGGGATAAAGACATGCTTTAAGAATAACCTGTATACTCATACAAAATTATTTAGTATAATAGAGGAGCGAGCTCATTGTAATTTACTCCATGGAATGAGAGAGACAAATGTTTTAGAATGTGTGGAATGTTGTTGATGTTTGGTGTTTGTTCCATGTTATTGCTATTCAATTATCAAATAAAAAACAATAATTATACAGCATGTACCCCTCCTTAATTATAGTATCTCGTCTTTCTCTGCTTTCTATAAAATGCAAGGACACTTTATTTAGATTCTGGAAACAACATTTGATTAGTTCTACTTTCTGTTTATATAACGTTAACTTGGTACTGTATAAGCTATTGTTGAAATAAATGACATTGCATATATTTGTTAGTTGTATTTTATGTATTTTGGAGAAGCCATCAATCACTCAATCATTGTGATTTACATTTTGCAATGAAAATATGTTGTAACTAAATCACTCATTGATAATTACATGTTCGTTCTTTTAAAACATAGCTATGCACATTGAAGACAAACGAAAAGTGTGTGCATATCTAATATTTCTGTATGTATGTTGAGTATTTATATACATGACTACTCTGTTCTTGTAATATTATCGAAAGTAATAAAGAGAAAAATGAGTTATGCTTGTGAACATAAAGTATCCATTGTGTTGTCACGAATATGTTTCACTACAACAATGTATACATCTATATGTTTTAGCTTAAAGGCACCCATGTATATTGTAAAATAAAGAGGGCAAATGAAAATATTGTATATAAAGAAAAATCTTAAACATTTTCATTTATTAATGATTGAAATCGAATTTTAAATCAAATCAGGTTATCTTATTAGAGAGAGTTACATATTTGTATTGTATTCTCATCTTATAATCAATTTTATTAGTAATACCACACACGTCATACATTTGCATGGGAACTTGTCTTTATCATTTCTATTTGATTTAAGTAAAGCCGTTTAAGTATTGAGAGAGAGAGAAATGATATACTCCACATTTCGAAGTATAAATCAACTATAAAATAATAGCATCATATCTTTGAGTGAAAACAAGCACACTACAGGTATTTATAACTTATATTGTACTTCAAGAATTATATAAAAATGTATTCAATATATAGAAAAATAACCAGGTTATTGGGAAATAAGTTAGGTCAATCTTAAATAGTGTAGATGATTATAAATATGGTTAGAAACAAGCAACTGTTAGCATCATGTAGACGGTATATGTGTCACACACGTTGCTTACTGGTAGACATTAAAAGTAGCCGATACTGATGTTTAGATTATGATTTATACGGATATCGATATGCGGACTAAGTACGACGTACGTCACGTGATTTTTACCTGACAGGTGAGAAAAACACAATTAGACATTGTCATATTTACAGCCGGCTATTGTTTAAAGATAAATGTGATGTTTAATTGACAAGGTAAAGGGTTTGGAAAACCATAAACCAAGATCTTAGGTCTGACTGAGTGTCAGGTTTACGGGGCCTCTTATGACTTGGCCAGGAAAAGTACATAGCATTATGCCTACAGTGATAATAATACACAGCTTATATATAAGAATAGGGCACACAAAAAATAAATTCGTCAAAAAAATAAATGTGCTATGTCTTGTGATGAATAAAACTATACAAACAAAATGCTCATTTAAACCGAAAAATATTCGTTATGAACAATTGAACAGTTCGGTTCAGAATAAAAATAGTTTTGTAATGAATTAAGAATTTTATAAAGGTGAAGTAGAGAGTGTATTTTTCCTATATACATCAGCATATTATTCAGCATATTATCATATTTTCAATATTATTATGAATATGATAATATATAGATAAATATACTGCATGCTCAATATATAATTGGTATGAAACAATTGTGTTCTATGTTTGTTGTATATTACACTAAAACGTTTTTGTGTTGCTTGGTTACAACTAAATAAATATTATATCGGATAAAAGATATTTCGGAAATTGTGTGAAAAATAATAATAGGTTACGGTCATTAACTATTTTAAATTCAAGGTCTTGAATGTGTTTGGTTGTTTGTAACATATCACCAACTTATTTGTATATGAATTCTGCAATTTTGCAATTTCACTGAAGATTGATAGCAGACTAGGAAATAATGAGGCATTATCAATTAAATATTTGACTCCTTTTTGTAAACAGCAGAACAAGGGCTTTCTCTATACAATGAGTATGTAGAATAATTCGGTATGAATGAGCTGTTTTGTAGGAGCTGTCAAGTTGTATATATCTAGAGCTATACCTGTATTCATATTAATCTTTTCCTGTGTTGTCATTTATCATGTTCTAATAGCTGTAGGCAAAGTGTGGGAAATTGTATTTACTTACTTTAATCAAAGAACATTATACAGTCACAAACAAACTTCATATGTTTACGTATGATCAGGTCTGTCTCGATCAGGAACAATCAATTCTGTTTATTATTTTATAAATAATTCTTTTTTATGTTAATGATTTAGTTGAGATTTTTGAAGACTGTTGACAAGCTTTCATCGTTTTCTCACACATCATGACAAGGCTGGCTGTGTATTGTCGTCATTAGGGTTTGACAATTACCGTCTACAGATATTTATCACACAATTTTAATAAAATGCTCGGATTTTATTTATGTTCATAACATCTTGAATATACACTATATTTTATTTTGACGCCTCTACTGCCTAACTAAAAGTCATTTACGTATTTTATTTCATTAAAACCTGAAATTTTGCATTTGAATCTAAGCGTAACGAATAATACTGAGGCGACAGGGGTCACAACTACATGTAAAGGGTCCGCCATGTTGGCCCCTACGCGCGACAAGTCTTACAGGATGCAAAAATGATGTATTACGAGACCAGATGGTAACATAAGAATTGTACAGATCTAGTTTCCTCCGACTTTCTTAGCTGTACACAGTATCTCAAAAGTCCAAGTTTGTCATTTTTGTTCACACCAAGACATTATCAGGCATCAGGTTACAGACAAAATCGCCAACACTGTGTAATTATAGTGAAATAAAGCGTATATTTACAGCATATTCAAAGCTACAGGCCAAGTTAACTCCATTCTCTCTACGGTGAAGTAAAGTATACGGTTTCGGGGCTGTGTTTGATATTAAGGTAAAGGGTAAGGGGGAGGGAATGGGACGGAATCCCCCTTTAAAGTAATGACAGAGAAGCTTGTCATAAAGTATTGGGTTTAGGGGACCATCTGTGAACGGGCACTTTCCTTAGCAGTTGACAATTTGAATCATCAGAGTTCAGTACTGTTATCTCAAGAAACTTGAGATGGATATTTTTCAGAACATGTCACAGCAAAATGAAGTCAACTATAACTAGATATTGAGCATAGGGTTTAATATTGTCCTTTTTCTAATGGTTATGAAAATGGTCAGGAAGAAATTTTCAAAACATAATGTGAGAAACCATTAGATATTGAGAACATTTATTATTAGTATATTTTTTGTAAAGATACCGATTATGTTTAAATTTTGGATTAATAAATGACCACTTATTACCTAATATCCGATATGTGCATAATCGTAGAATTATCTTAAGGTATAACAAAATAAATATTAATATTTAATCACCCTGTTCATAAGTGTCAAATAACTGATAGAATATTTGCACTAACTTAATTTCAATATCATTATGAACTATTTTGACACAATACTACCCTTTTGCGTACACCCTTAAGCCGACCTATTTATTATTTATCGGTATATACATTCGGTTCACCATTTTGTTGGCTTTACATCATAGTATTTTTAAACTTGGAGGAAAAAGTGCACTATCAATGTATCACACACAGAAAAGTCAGTTTAAACCGGAGTTATTTCCCTTTAAATCTGAATTGGATGATATAAACTGATGGAATATGTACCCGTTTTTCACGGTTATTATAGGACGTTTTTCGTGTAATAATTATTTTTCTATCGTCTTACTTATGGAGATAAGTTAAACAAGGAAGAGATATAATTAAATAGCTAATAATAAGTCATTTAGAAAAGTCATTACAGGCAATTCCTGCTATTTATTTGTCCGTGATATTTTTGCCTGTCTTAAGAAGAATACAATACATTTCTGCATCTTTACTAATTGTCACGTTTCTAGGGGGATGGGGACCGTTTACAGTATCTGAAAGACGTTTGAAATATACCTGATGGACACTTCAGCAAATAAATACAGCTTTGATTTTATCAATTTTTTACAAAACCAGTTGACAATTGAGCGATAGTATAGTTTTGTGACAATAAATGTAAAGGTAACAGTAGGTGTTTTATTTAATTTCTAAATATTGTGATTCACTGTATCCCCTGTTATGACCATATCCGGTTTCCCTCTCCATACATTGATGTTATGCTAACCCCAAAAAGCTATTTATAGCCTGCTTACTGCACTTATATTGACCATTATCTCTATTCTCAGTCCAATAATCACACATTAAAAAACAATTATATACAAACCTTGATTCGGGGAATCCGAGTTGGCGCTCCTGCAGTCTATGTCCCTCCCTGGGAGAGGGGGGATACCGGGGGGCATGTCGGGATAAAAACTTCCATTCGTGTAGCCCGGGGGATGGGCAGCCTGATACATGTCGCCGTACAGAGGATAATTCCTCATGGCCGGCATGTTAAGAGGGTTCATATGATTTAACTGCATCTGTCTACAGTTGATATAGTCCGCCCCAGCACTCGTGAACGAGTTGTACGGAGATTTGGAGTTCATGGCGGAGAAGGAAGCTCCCAGTTGGAGATTACTGTATGAAGACATACTTGAACACGAGTTATGCCCGTTGATACTTCCTGCGTCGCTTGTGTAGTTTGACCAGCCGTTCTGTCCGGATCGCCCGATGGCCGAGTCTTGACCCCCAGGACTCGAGCTGAGGATGCTGGACACAGTCGTTGTCAGTCCGTTTGGATAGAACGGCAAGCTTGAGTGAGCTAACAGATTATTGGCAGTCTCCATCGCTCAACATAACACCTGCAAAAACCAGGAAAAGACAATAAGGGCCCAATGTTTGTAAATGTTCATAACACTGTTTAAGATAATAATGTCGTTATTCAAATGTGATTATGACAATTCAGAATTCGTGTCCGTCATGTAATGAGAGAGTCTAATATTAAAACAGGTTGAAAATTAATTGAATGTTAATTCCTATATATATAAACATTGCATGTAAAAATTCTATGAATTTCAATCACATTTAAGGATGTTTTTTCTTGGTCTTTTTAACAAGCAAGATCCTTGGTTGCGAATTGTATTAATATACAAAACACTTACAGGAGTATTATATTATAATAGCTGTATATATACATACATCAACTTCAAGAGAAAAGAACGTCTTGTCAAAGAGGCGATGCAAAAAATACTATAACCTATATGGCCACGAACAGAAGGCATACACGAACTTATCCAGTACATTTTGTGACCTGGCCATATTTTTATCACTGGTTGTCTTATAGTAGAAAGATAATAGATCGATTTCGAAAACACGTGTAATATAATATGAAAATAAATTAAAAAAAGACAATAAAAGAAACGACACAATTGTCATCCGGATAAAATCTTACAACTCCTCCCATAAAGTCTGGAGCGAAATGTCACACTGGAATCAGTTTACGGATGGAAGGTTACTAAAAACCTTATTATGAAATATAACGTTTACTGTATATATATATATATAAATAAATATTATATGTAAATCCCAGAAGTGTAAATATCCTATATCACGTTCGGATATGGATGGCTTAGGTTTTATACCGAGTTAAATGTCAAATCAATCAAAGGGATCTGATCGGCACAGTTGTTTGTTGAATTCTTGTTTTATTAGAGAACTTCCATAAATATTTAATAACTTCTACGTTAAACGCTGTGGAAAAAAATCGTTATGTACTTTTCCGCTTTTTTACACATTCAGGTATTCTCCTTTTCAAGGTTGTTTTGAAGGAACGCCTGTTATATCGAATAATGAATTATGAATATCAATCATCATTTGAAATGTGCGTTTTGTAAAGAATTTAACTTTCGACAAACTCATCAGATATTAAAATAAAAATGATCACAGAATGAATTTGATCGAAATCAAAACTACACACGGTAAGATGGTCAGGATTTATAGACATGCATAACATCTCATTTATCATGTGTTTTAGTTGTTTAAACGACGATGATAGAACATGTCTGTGGTCAAGAAATGATTTCTTTTATTCAAATGTATTTGGAGAAATATTCATCGAGCACGTCAAAACTTATAGAAGAATATTTACGCAAGAATGGCGGCGTATGAAAGATTGCATTAATTTTACATGAGCCTTTTGTGAGACCACATTACGACAAACTATACACACTGCTATACGATACCCTATACTTTTATAAATATTTACATAACAACAATATTATGGAAATTTAAAATTCGTGCATCTCATCTGACACGCAAAGAAAATGAATAAAGTGATAATGTATGTGTATTTAAAAAAAAAATCGAAATACAAAATACATTGCAAAGCTTTCAAAAGATAAAGCATATGTTTTTCTTTGAGCTGGTTCACAATAAAATAATTTTAAAAATTCATTGAATATATCGGGTCTTGTTTAACTCAGCGCATTGTTATCAGGCATTGCTTTATCTGCTACAGAAAAGTAGGAACATAAAGCTCTACTGTAGGATTCTGATAGCTTTTTTTTTTGGTTCACAGTATTAATTTATAATGGGCAAAGTACAATTTAAATGCACGTGTGCAAACAAACAGGTAGGTCTAATTCATAATAGCTTAAGGTACAAGCATCCAGTCATATAACACAGTAAAACATTCCAAAGCAGTCATCAAACAAGTTTCAGTTCATAAAAATCACTCACCTATGCTGTTTTATGCATCCAGTATTAAGTGATATGTAGCTATTTTGCAAACAATATCTGATAGTTATAATCTGAATTTGTTAAATTATATGAAGACATGTATATATATATATATATGTACCATTTTGTACAGATGTGCCCGTAAAAGTGTTTATTCACTTTATACAATGCGTTAAAAACCTGGGATATAAATAAGGATATTGACAGCAAAGAAGAACTGCCTGTGAGATTGAAACCGAGTTAACCGGTTTAACACCTGCCCGTGTACTAAGTGTATAGTCAATGATTTTTTCATTCATGATTTTCAAACATTAGAGGTGTTTTTTCACAGACTCGTTAATGAGGCTACATCTAGATTGGAGATACGCTGTATGAAAGCTTTGTGAAACATCGAATATTTTTGGGGGGGATCTTTGGACATCTACTATTAATCCAGTATTGTTGGGGTATAAGAAGCCGGTATGTACTCGGAATAATATATCCATTAGCGGAGAGTGCCGGGTGCCATATGTAATTAGCTATCTAGCGTTTCACAGCGGATGAAAATCCAAAGATGTTATCTCGTACCCAACGCAATCTCAATTTGCAAATTTCAATACAAATGTAATTCGTCAAAACTGAAAATGTAGCTGTACTAACATGCTTCGTGAGCAGGATGCGTGACAAATATATTATTCACTGGCACATTATATTTCTTACAAAAAATATGAAACGAAGGACACAATCATTTTGAACGTGTTTTAAAAGGTACTTACACATATACACCCTTTCAAACGCAAACACACACACATATATCTATATATACTGTCTGTGATGTGACACACACTGAATGTGACGAAAGTCATTAGGGTCCTCGTAAATCTCACATGACGCTTTATGTTACACATACACAGCTCAGCTTTAATAGTGCTTATAAAATCATCATAAATTCTAATAAATGTACACTTAATGTGACAGAATGTTGTGTTAATGTTTAGGCAATGTTTAAATAAAAAATGTTATACAGTTAAAACGACAATCAGTAACGATAGATAATAATAAAATAAACTAAACTAAATAAATGTAATTAGTTATCAAAAAAATGACATTTTAACAAAATATGAGCTGTGATGCGATACGTAATGAATACTGATAATATAATGTAGAAGATACGTTCCCTTAGTCGTGAACGACAAAAGGTATTCGTTATAATACGATGTATATCAAATATGTGTATCAAAATGTAAAGACAATATTCCCGAGCACCTGTGATATCGGCCTATCTGCCCCCTCCCCCGGGTATGTACTCTATCTCTGCCTTCCGGGTCACTGGGCCATGCTGATTACACTCCATATAAAAGGGAATAAAACTTAACATCAAACGAGTATAAAAAAACACATAAAATTATCAATTAAATTTCAATATATTTGGCCTTGAAATGGTGCGAACATCGTATAGTGGTTCCATCGTTATCGAAATACATACCTTGCTACACACGTTTTCTCATATTCCATTCGATCTTTGAATTTTAGTGTATAATAACTACTATGTATGTATGCTCCTTAATGCCACTGGCCGGGCTATCAAAACCATGCTCTCGCCAAAACAATATAAACACTACTAGTAACGTGGTGTATACAGGCTGAGCGAGCCTGCCTCACTGTACGATACACAACAACCTATGACCTCGCATATCACACACAGAGAGCTAATAAAATACGGAATATAGCCTGCAACCACGTGACAAGGCTCAGCCAATCGTCGCCGACCAATTCAGAAAACCCAGTCAGTCGGAAAGATACGGCTACCTTGTGAATCAAGTCGAATTTAACGAAATCTTCGCAGTGAGATAAAAATGTATTAAATATTTACCACAAAAGATTTTCCCTTTCTTGAATTAATCGAAATCCTCTGTTTATTGTAACGTTGGGAGTTACATCTCTGCTTTATAGCTGCTAAATCTCGGAAAGAACTATTGCTATGAATATTCATAAAAAGATGGTTTGGCCAATCAGTAATCAGCATACATCAGCCATTTCATAGCAACGTTTATGTGTGTTTAATAGAAATTGAGGTAATTATCACTGCGCTGGCAAATTGCTGAGTCTTTATAGTGTAAGGTTTGTCTGTTTGGCGTGAGGTTTTAAGATGTACGTATACAGAACGGGATATTTTATAATACAATGTTTGGGACTGACTAAATCGAACAGGTAAGATGTGTGAACTGTGGCTACGAACCACGTATAAAACTTCGTAGCGGAGGTCTAGATTTATTAGGGGGGACCTACGGCACAGGACATTGAGCTAACCATTGAAAACGAGAGCAGCCATTTGATGTCATTGTTTGGAACATGTTTCTCCCGTCCTAGTCTTTAATTTCTGTAGCAGTGATCGCTTTATTTCCTCCATAGGATTAAAATTTAGGTCTGTGCGGAAGACTTCAAAATTACAGAAGAAATCGTTTGCAGTATTCCCTAATTATAAGTATCATGTTGCCAATGAGGAACCGATTGACATTCTGTTGTAAGGATGTATCTGAACCGTCTCGGCGTTGCACGAGCTTTATGAAATGTGCGCCTAAGAACTTGTGTTCTTAAATCAGTAGAGAGAGTTTTCAAAAGAGTTTTCAGTATGATTTTATAAAATCTAACATAACGCCTTTTTTTTTATAAAATACATAAAATTCATTGGTTAGTCTCAGTTTTATCTTTTAGATTGTATTTCAATTAAATATACATAACAATATTTGCATTTGTTCTTTGATATATATTTATGTTTCATATACATAATGTAAATTATGTTTAAGAATTTTATGCTTGAAATATTTAGAAAGCAGGTATGTTACATTTCCGTCACCCATTACCTTATGTCTTCACTAGGGTAGCGTCCGTATAATAAAATTGCTTCATTTGATTTATACACTAGAGGTTTATAATTATATATTATAAAGCACACATAGAAAAACACAAAATACGGACATCTTGTTATTAGCATTACATGTGTGTGATGGACACGTCCGTTTTCTGTTAAATGCCTTCCTGTAGAATTGCTCTGACTGATAGTTACCTGTGTACAGGTAAGCTCTCGTCAACCATCAGGTAACCAGACAGTTCCATCCATCACACGGCTCTTACCTTTGTGTTC